ACATACAGATGGCCAACAGGCATATAAAAAATGTTCAACCTCACTAATCATTAGAGAAATGCAAATAAAAACCACAATGAGATACCACATCACTCCGATCAGAATGGCTATCATCAATAAATCAACAAACAACAAGTGCTGGCTAGGTTGTGGAGAAAAGGGAACCCTGGTGCACTGTTGGTGGAATTGCAGACTGGTGCAGCCACTATGCAAATCAGTATGGAGGTATCTCAAAAAACTGGAAATGGAACTACCGTATGACCCAGGAATTCTACTCTTGGGTATCTATCCAGAGAAACCCAAGACACTAATTCGAAAAAACATATGCACCCCTATGTTCATCGCAGCACTATTTACAATAGCCAAGACTTGGAAACAACTGAAATGCCCATCGGTAGACGACTGGATTAAGTCGGTGCGTTTATAACTGTGGTACATTTATACAAAGGAGTATTACTCCACTATAAAGAAGAATGAAATCGTACCACTTGCAATGATATGGATGGATCTAGAGACTATTATGTTAAGTGAAATAAGTCAGTCGGAGAAAGACAAATACCCTATGATCTCCCTTATATGTGGAATCTAAAAAACTGAATGAATGAGCAAAGAAACAGAAATAGTCTCAGAGATATAGAGGAAAAACTCATGGTTGCTAGTTGGGAGGGGCCTGGGGATGAGGGAGAAGGGGAATGTATTAGACAGCATAAATAGGTAACTACAATATTGCCACAGGGATATGAAAGACAGTTCGGGGAATATAATTAATAATGTAAATATTTTTTAGGGTGTCAGATGGTCACGTCTTGTTAGGGAGACCACTTCATGGATGGGGTAGAGGTTTGATCACTGCAGTGTATACCTGAAGCTAATGTTGTATAATATTGTATGTCAACTATAATTGAATATATATATATATATATATATATATATATATAGTCATGGGATGTGGAGTATAGTGTGGGAGTGGAATCAAGGGAATTGTAATAGATATGTATGATATGGGGGGCAGGAAATGGGGCGGCGGATTGGGGCAGGGGGTTGTCACTTTGAGGGGTAAAAAGTATAACTTGCACTATGATGTACAGCTGAAACTAATTTTTTAAAATGTTTATTTCACAATAAAAAAAAGGAAAAAACATAAAAACCAAAAAATAAACCCCCACAAAATAGTCATGGGGATGTAAAATAAAGCATAGGGAATATAGTCAATAATATTGTAATAACTACGTATAGTGCCAGGTGAGTACTAGATTAGTCAGTGTGATCACTAAAAAAAAAAAAAAAGAAAATTACTTGGTATATTTAAACTGTTATTTATTTATATCTGAGTTAATTAGATTTAGATCTGGAAGTTAAAATGCCTGAGTTTGAATCCTACCATTGATTACTATGTAACCTTAGGCAAGCTATCTACCTAGTTAAGCTTTAGTTCTTTTAATCTATCAAATGGAGAAAATAGTATTTGCCTCACAGGGTTATGATGATTAGGTGACATTATGCTGAGAAACCTGTCTGTTACATAGTAAGAGCTCAGTATCCCTGACAAAGATGGCGACTGTCGTGTAATCCTGGCATGCTATTCCTATCCTAAATATCCCAATATTATCCCAATAATATTAATAATATTATTAATAATAATATCCACACAGATGCCCAATAGGTACCTCAATCATACTAGATAGAGCTACTGCTCCCTGGCTGCCAATTTCAGTAAATGGCACCATCATTAACCTAGTTACTCAGGATCTAGACCTAGGAATCATTTTTATCCTCCTTTTCACCCATTGTATCAAATGTCTACTAGCTCTATCTTCAGTATATTTTGAATCCAACCACTTCTCACAGGTGTATCACTACCATGCCCGTCCGAGCCAGCATCATCTCTAGCCTGGACAGCTGCAAAGACTCTAGTGTAGCTCAGTTTTCACTCTTGTCCTCCTCACCCACCGAAGTCTATTTTCCACTTCGGTGCCAAAGCGAGTCTTTAAAATGTAAACCAGGTGATGCCCCTTCCTGCTGAGAACAAAATATAAACCCCTTTCCCTGTTGAGAAGACCCTACCTAAGTGATGGGGTTTCCATTTACTTTCTCTCCTATGACTTTCCTCCTCACCCCCTCAGCTCCAGCCATACTGGCCTCCTTTGCTATTCCTTGAGCATTGTGAGCTTGCCAAACACACCTCTGCTCTCCACCTGTAGCCTTACCAATCCTTCTGTATGACAGATTCCTTCCTCAGGTAGCCATATGGCTCTCCGCCTCAACTCTCTGCTCAAATATCAGGCTTTTCCTGACCATGCCATCAAAAGCAGCACTCCCACAGGTCTGTTTTACTTTGATTCATAACACTGTCATTCCTGTGTGTGTAAATTCATTTATGATCTGACTGCTCAACAGGCACAAAAACTCCATGAAGACGGGGACTGTGTTTTGCTCACTGCTGGATGCCCATTGTCAAGTATAGTAAAGGGTGCATTGTTGATATTAAAGAACTACTTTTCAATACATGGAGAGTGTACTCATGTTAAATTGGGTTGGGTTTAGCCAAGTACTCCAACCACTGTGTAAATAAGTCCTAAAAAGAAAAAAGAAAAAAGAAAAAGCAAGCGAAGTAGTTACATAGAATTAGTTCTCCTATATCCCAATACACTTGGCAGAATCCTTACAGATCTAAGTCTGATAACAGGAGCTACAGAAGTCTTCATTTTTATTTAGGAAATCTAGCAGCAGTCTAACAGAAAAGAAATCCTTTTATTTCATCAGAGTGCTAGAAGAAAATAAATATATATTTTTAAGTCTTGGTATTTAAAACAATTAAGTGACTAGATACTTGATTGGAATACTTGTCATAAAGGAAAAGAGAAAAAAGTTTTCCCTGGTTTTGTTTATTACTAAATGATTCTGTATAAAGACACGTGATATTATGGGGTAAAATTGGTTTTAGACTCAAGTAAAAAGAAAAAGTCATATCAGAGTGTTAATGAACTAAAAAATGACTCCCTCCCTAAAAAATTCCTTTGTAAAAATTCCAAACTACGGCTCTAAAATAATAGCTAAATGCATGAGACTTAAATTCACCATAAAAATAAAGTTGCTTTAACCTACTATATGTCTAAATTATGACAGATACTATGAGCCACAGAAAATAATTTTTTAATATCATAAAACTGTTGAATCCAATGAATACAAAGCAATATATGGGTAAAATTCCAGCGAATAACTCTCTGGACCTCTATTACTTTATCTGAGCTTTTGTTACAACATATCACTTTTTTTCTTTATTTACAAATATTGGCATTTTTGGACACAACATTTTTATCTGTTTCATCTTTGCCGTTTCCTACAGTGTTAGCACAATGATTGGGATATTCAGTACACATTTTCTGAATGAAAGAATAAATGATGCAGAGCGTTCAAGGTGGGGAATAATTGCAGTAATCACTGCATATGTATCATAGTGGCTATGTACTGGCAGAGTTCTAAATGAGCCCAATTACTGCTTCTCTATAACATATCCTATGAGAAGAAAGTATAGAGAGTTAGGTAAATCTATAAAAGTGGTTCTATTTTGGTTCCCAGTATTTATCACAACTGTACTAAAGCAATCATTTGTGGCATCATTTGCTCAACATCTGCCTTTTCCACTTTAAACTCCAGCATCAATAGTAGGGTCCCAATAAATGTGTTCTGAATCAACAAATGCAGTTAGGGTTGTGCCACTGCATAATTTGAAAATGAGTGGGTACCCTTCCTCGCTGAGTTTACCAGGCACTCACAGCTTCACAGAACCTAACAATTTGTTTTTCATTGGTTTTAGAATGCACACTTTTCCACATGCATCTTACAATTAATAGTGTCTTAGGTATCATGCATAGTTTAATTGGCAGCATTTTTTTCTGATTATTACATAAAATAACATTGTTTTAATAAATGGTGGTGTCTTAGAATCAATGAAAGCAGTTATTGCTAATTCCATCTTAATATGAAAAACATAAAAACTTCAAGTACTTACATCAATTAAATCTGAAAGATCATGAATATAATACTTGAAAACTGAGGCATTGGTGGCTTCAAGTGTTAGGAGATATTCATTCCGTGCCTTAATCGATTTCAGCTTATTTTCCGAATACTTGGCTTGTCTCTGGCAATGAAGAAGATCCAGGCATTGGGAAAGACAACAAAGTCATTTTTAAACAAGACAGAGACATATACATGAATTTTTATTAATCTAAACAATTCATTCTACATCTACAAATGACCTTCAAAGTCCTTTGAGAAAAGTACATTTCAAATCTGATTTAAATAACAAACTAAAATTACCCAGCTACAGGGAATAACAACAATGTATTTGGGCTTCGGGCCCATTTGCAGTGAAATCTCTTTGTTAATATTCAAGTTCTCTACACTGTTCCATTGAATACTTGGCATTCACTACTAAATAATGTACAGCTGTTATTACATGATTTTTATGTTTCTTAAACATTTTGCATTCCCATGGGAGGAAATTCACGTCGTTTCACAATAATTTACAATCTGTGTCTGTCGGCTGTTGCATCAGTGTTCTTAGGCTTGTCATCTCAAATGAGAATAAGTCGCTTCAAGTGAGGGCAGAAAGGCTCTGCAATCTATTTTTACTTACCTTTTCTTTCATTTTTTCAATTTTCTTTACAGAGCTTCGCCGCTGATGTCTCTCTTCGAGTCTAATATGAAAGACTGGATCGCCAGACCGTCCAATTTGCTTTTCCTCTTGTTTCTCGGCCTCTTTCAGCTTGCTCTCTGCACTGATGCTCTCTGCGTGATACATATGGTATGTTTTCATCACCTGTGAAAATGTGACCCAAATTGTTAAAACATGTCTGTCTGTAATTTAGAGAGTGAATGGAAACCATTATATGACATATATGTTAAAAATATCACCTTCCAACTTTCAGGTTCTTATGAAATAAGATGAATTATGGGATATTGCTTCTACCTAAAGCAAACAGAAACATGCAAATTCACCGGCCAGGAAGAGGCACTTAAGGGACAGGCCTTGATGAAAAAATGATTTACAGAGTCTTATGCTTTCAGTGTACTTGAAAAGTTCCCTTAAGCTTAAAAGTATTTCTCTAAAATCTCCTTTGCATTATTAATTTGCAGAATAAACCATTTTTCATGAATAAATTTTAGCCCAGCCTTGGATTTATTAAAAACTTCAAATCAGTACAGCCCTTACTAAATTTTATTGCTTAACATCTACTTGTCAAAATACAAAACACATATAGTAAGGATTCAAACATACTGTAGTTTTAATTTTAAAAATTGTTTTTCTGACCACAAAATCATACTTTATCTTCAACGCAGAATACATACAATACAATAAGAAAATAAAAAGCAAGCAGAGATAATCACTCTTAAGATACTGGTATTTAACCTTCTAGTCTTTTTCCTATGAAAATACACACAGACACACATACTTCATTTTAAAATGACATATATCATTTCTTTTTTTCAAAAACTGGGATCATACTGTATTTACTATTTTTAAGGTCCTATGTCTTTTTTTTTTCACTTAATATATCAGAATATTTTCTTATATCACTAGTCTTCTAAAACATAATTTTAAGGGCTAAGTAGTATTTCCCTATATGATTGTGTCATAACTTACTTAACTAATTTCCTATTGTTGAACATTTTAGGATATTTCAACTTTTTGCTTTATAAAATAAAGCTGTGCTAAAACTAAAACCCCTTGATATATATCCTATTTTATTTCTTCTCTTAGAAATGATATACATAATTTACATTTTAATAAATTTAGAAATACACAGTACATAAAATTTTGCAATGTGTCCTTTCCATGCATATTGTAAGCATATATAATGAATCCCTAATTATTAAAAATTTGGTTATATTATTGTTACAGAAATGTCTGTTCACAAAATTGTGTCATATTTCCTAGGATACATTTCCAGAAGTAGAATTACAGGATTAGAGAACAAGCACATTTTTGAGGCATTTGAAACATACTGCCAATTGAACGCTATGTTAACTTGAAAAAAAAAGAAAGTCATTTATATAGTTACCTCTCAAAGCACTTTAGATAACATATATGCTTAATGTTTTCTCAAAATAATAAATGTATTCATTATTTATTCTTATAATAAAATCGATCATATCTGTATATAATCTGTGTTCTTAGATACAAAAGAATAACATTCACAGATTTTCAGAGATTTTACCTGAAAATCAGAGTTTTCCAATATGACTTCAATCATTTTTTACATGCAGAGTCAGACATCTGGGCCAAATTTGAAACTTGTTTTATTTTAAGCACAATTACACTCCATAAAAGCAGCAACATACATAAGGTGTGATGACTCCAATGCCACTATGTCAAGGAACACACCAGAACCTAGCACCCAAATAATCAGTTGTGGCACTTTCTCAGATATTATGTCAAATTCTCATCCACAGAAGATATGTTTTATTTCATTTGTAAATAATTATGTATTATTCAGAGCCAATTTTACAACTAAGGTGTAGTTGTTAAGAAGCTGTAAGAAATTCAGTTTAATCAAACATTTTGAAGTAAGGAACGTGGCTTTTCTCATTTTAAAATATGATCTATAAAACAGTTTGGGTACTGCTCGCACCACTGGAATAAATATATTTACTCAGGTTGAACCATATGAAATTGCTGTTTTTATAGGTTTTATAAAAAAGGGAGAAAAACCAGCACTTTCTTATGGTTCAACTTAAATGGAAGCAAACAGTCATTCTCAGGATGACTATTTGGAAGATAAAAAACATAGGTTTAATGAAGAACCTCGACTTAGATTCATAAAATCTGACAATGTCTTCCCTTAAAAATGTGAGCTAGCAAGTTATGTGAAAGGCCTTGATGAAGCATAACAAAGGGTGAAACTACAAACCGTGGCAGCTTTTCCTGAACTGTATATATGTGTAACTAACTACAAAGTTGTCTATTTGCAGTCATTATCAAACCTGTTGGGGTGAGGTTTGGTTGGCTACTCCTGTTTAAAAGAAAAATAAAAGAGCATTAGGAAGCAGCTGGGCAGCTGGGGAATGTAAAGGGAGTCACCCTGCAGCTGGGCAAACAGCGAGGTCAATGAATCTACTACACACCTTGTATTTCTACTCTCGGCTCTGTTTATATTCCCTGCCTGAAACAAACCCACATACCATTTGGGTCCTGGTTCTAGTTACATTTTTGAATGATAGAGTGAAAAAAAAACAATCAATCTCTCTCCACCTCCCCCATGCCCCCTCCCACCCCCAAAACACACACACACACACACACACACACACACACACACACACACACACACACACACACACACACACAGAGTTGCTCAGCTCTCTGTATTCTTCTTGCTCAAAGGCAGGAAAGAAGAAATGAGAACATGTGACTCCCATTATAGTTGGATGAAAAGGCATCCCAGACAGCCGTGGGTACCTGAGAAATCTTTTTTAAAAATACATCACAAAGAAAAGAACTGATCTCCTGACTCTTGCTTTACTTAGATGCTGAAGACTAGTGTAAGCAGGTAATATTTGCACAAACTAAGCCTTCCGAATGAAGGATATCAAGTTGGCTGCCAGCATGGCATTTCTTATTAACTAGCCAGTGTCAAAAGGAGAACATTTGAGTCTGACCTAACATTAGCAAGAAAAGGGTTTAAATATCTCATCATTATGTGGTTCAGCACAATAACTGAAGATTCTTTATCCAGTTCAATGGTAATATCCAGAATGGAAATTCCTTTGTTCAGTTTTCCAATTTGACTTAGGGTTTCCACTATTTTCTAAAATGTTAACAGTTACAATGAATGAATTTTAAAAGTCGAGGAGAAAAACACTAAAAGCTTTTTGGAGAACTCTAATTGCAGATACTGAATGAAACTACAAACTGCATTATTTAAAAGGTAGGCTATTGACAGAAGTTAAATGTGTTTTGTATTTAAAATAACAGACAGTTCTCTTTTTCATAGAAGTAAAAGAAAGCTTTTATTTTTTTAAAGGTGCATTTTGAATACATACTGCAAAGAAAACAGCAGCTTTCTCCTATCAGCTTAATGCAAACACAAGCCTTTGCATATCAAATGACATGATAGGCATGTATCCATTTAAATGTAGTCCAGTATTTTCCTATTTGAATTCTTCTCTACTAAAACCTCAGGGATAATTCCCCATTGAACACAATTTATCTTTCTGCTCCATCTTTCCTTAAGTGTAGGGAGAATATAGTCAAGTAGAAAATGAACATGTCATGGATTGCTTTGTGACATTGCAAAATCCCTAATAAAAACGTTTGCACAGATGCTGTTAATTTTTTTTCTTACTGACAGACTCATATAATGTATCTGATACTACTCTTGTACATTAAGTAAAAATAATTAAAATATCTATATTAAATTTCAGTATCCAGTGTCAAGAAACCATCATGTATCTGAACACTATCCACGTGTTAGAGAAGATCAGTGAACTAAGGCTATAAATTCTACTTTTTGACTTCTAGCTCAGAAGTTAAAAGACATGGTTCCAGAAATAGATTTACCAGTTACTAGGTCTGGAGAAGTTATTTAACACTTCTGCTCACCTTACAATGTTGTTGCGGGCGCCCAACGTGTGTTCCTGTGTGCATGTGTATAACCTTAACTTTACTGAGTATTTACTATGAGTACATAATCTATACCACTAATATATAGGTATACATATATGTAATATGTACATATTTAGCTAAGCAAGAACTACATAATGTTTACTAAGTGCCAGACATTGTTCTAAACATTTTACAAATAATAGCTTATTTAATCTTTCTAAAAACTCTTATGAGGTACCTTTATTCTTCCCATTACACAGATGAGAAAAGTGAGGCA